CTCTCCCCGGCTGAGCGTTTGTGACTTTCTTTCTTTTTGCTCCTTCTGTTTGCAAAACGCGTCTCGGCGCCGTGCAGTGCCTCCGCCAGGCGAGGCGGTGTCGCAGCAATCACAGACCTGTTGGTTTTCCGCTTCTTAGAGAAGAGTGCAGCGTGGTTTGTGAGGGACTTAGAGGAAGAAGAAGAAGAAGAAGAAGAAAAAGAAAGAAGAAGAAGAAGAAGAAGAAGAAGAAAAAGAGGAAAGCGGCGGCTAGTGCGGAGGATGGTATGTTGTCTTAACAAGTAGAACTTGTTTCCCAGGACTGAGTTGTCCTTGGAGACCCAACACAAGAAGGACATGGAGCTGCTAGAGCGCGTCCAGAGGAGGACCACGAAGATGATCCGAGGGCTGGAGCACCCCTGCTATGAAGACAGGCTGAGAGAGTTGGGGCTGTTCAGCCTGCAGAAGAGAAGGCTCCGGGGTGATCTTATAGCAGCCTTCCAGCACTTAAAGGGGGCCTACAGGAAAGCTGGAGAGGGACTTTTTACAAGGGCATGGAGTGATAGGACAAGGGGCAATGGATTTAAACTGAAAGAGGGGAGATTTAGATTGGATATAAGAAAGTAATTCTTCACTCAGGGTGGTGAGGCACTGGAACAGGTTGCCCAGAGAAGTTGTAGATGCCCCATCCCTGGAAGTGTTCAAGGCCAGGTTGGATGAGGCTTTGGGCAACCTGGTGTAGTGGAGGGTGTCCCTGCCCACGGCAGGGGGGGTGGGACTAGATGATCTTTGAGGTCCCTTCCAGCCCAAACCGTTGTATGATTCCATAACCCCAAAAAGCGCCTACTTTTGTTTTCCACCCAGTCGGAGAGGATTTGTTGGCTGGACGGTGTGAGAAATACTCTGTGTCAGTCTTGTGTATGTTTTAAAACCCTGGAAGTCTTCAGTGTTACCTCTTTTAGTATTCAAACTGGAACATTTAGACTCTAATACGTACTAAGCCCGTAGCAAGCAATGTAATCGTTGCAGAGAGTTTTGCTTTGTAACGTTAAGTCCGGGTGTTTTGCTTGCTTGTTATACAAATATCTACACTGTCTTTCAAAGCAGAGCTTTGGGAGACAGCTGGTTTCTGTGCTGCAGTGTCCAGCCAGTGCGTCGCTTTAGCAACGCACCCAGCCTTTGGCAACATCTGCATATTATGGAACTAAAGTATACTGGGAAACTGCCCTGGTTTGCATCTGCAAATATTGCAAGATTTATATGTATTTTTTTATATATATACACACACACTTATTTTTATATATATTTGAAACTTATGTGTTTGGTCTTGAGACACTTCTCATGGTTGTGCAGATAAAGAGGTGTTTTCGTGCGGTTCTCTGAGGATTCAGGTACTTAGAACAGACATTACATTTCACACGACCTGAGCACAGACCGTGTTGGCAACTTGATGTCTGCATTACAGATAGGAAAGAATTTTGTAACTTGTTCCTCATTTTCACAGAAAATTTCATGTAGTATACATTAAGCTTCACTGTTGTACTGTGTGAAGTAAACTGTGTGCAAGGAACTTCTGAATTTTTTGCTCTCTGCCTCAGAAAGTTTCATAGAAACCTTGCCTCCCCTTCTCCTGCCCCCCTCCCACCCCACGAAGAAAGCATGACATTTGTAAGTGGCTTATAGACTGCAGAGATTCACTCTGTGGAACGACTTTTGATGATGAACATGTCCTTCATATCTCTGACTAACTTGTCTTCTGGAAAATAATGCTCTAGATACAAAAACTAAAAAAGCAAAACCTGAAGAAGATGAATCTGTGGAGGTAGAAGATGAAGATAAGCAGGATTCTGGAGAGAAAGAAGTGGAAGAAGAGGAGGGGGAGGAGGATGAAGTGCCCAGTTTACCACTAGGTCTAACAGGTACCTCGTGTCCTCTTTTTCAGACGTGTGCCAAGGTCTAACGCTTTCTTCCAGAGCAAGCTGCAGTTTTCAAATTAGCTTTATAGGTCGGGTTTTTGAATGTAGTTTGACGTGACCCTGGCAGCTGTACCGCTGTTATTCAGTTCTGTTCTTTGAAATTATAGACACGCTTCTTTTAATCTTAAAATTACTAGTGAAAAACTGTTTTAAGACAGATATACACACCTATGTTTAACTGTAGAGGAAAAAGTCAATGAAGAGCACGATGGAGGTGACTGACTAGTAAATTTGGCTGGGAGAAGCAGTGCATTCATGTTTGGTTTTAACAGCTCTGTGTAGTATTCTTAAGAATGCATTAATACAGAGTATTTTGTCAATGTCTTCGGATTTTATTCTAGAAAGGAATGATGTCCTTTGCTTGGATGTTTTTTCATCTAGATCAGTTCTAACTGGGTAGTCTCAGGACAGATGGAATTGAAGGAATGTTTGAATATTTCTTTATTCTCCCCCCTCACTTCAGGTGCTTTCGAAGACAATTCTTTTACTTCCCTGGCTGGTGTTGTCAGTGAGAATACATTGAAAGGCATAAATGACATGGGTTTTACACACATGACTGAAATTCAACATAAAAGTATTAAGCCGCTTCTGGAAGGCAGGTAGGAAACAAGTCTTTTCAATCATTATATTGATGCTAAATGTTGAGTAAACTTTGTTAGCAAGCTAAATACATGAAACGTGACTTTCTGCAGCTAAACTTTTTTTTTTTCAAAATACATTCTTGTGTTTTATATATTTTGTTTATAGACATTAATACAAGTTAACAAAATATATCTGTGTTGCATATGAACAAATACTTAGGGTAAGCTTGTGGAAACTGCTTTGCATTTGGCTTTGAAAGCAGGGGAGTTTGTTTTCACTAGTCGTCTTGTCAGCGTGTCTCAAAGACACTGTCTCAGACTGTCACTAGAGACGTAGTGACCAATTGCTGCGGACCACATCTGCCACCGAGCTCTTAATACCAACCCTACTGATGTCCTTTAAGCCATGTTATGTTTTTACATTGTCAATGTTGTTCAAAATAGGGTTGCTCTTTTCTCTGTACAATCAACTAAGCACTTGTCTTTCTAACTTTGCTGCATACAGGGATATTTTAGCAGCTGCAAAGACAGGCAGTGGCAAGACTCTTGCGTTTCTGATTCCTGCGGTAGAGCTCATCTACAAGCTAAAATTCATGCCTAGAAATGGTAAGGCTCTTCATTTCACAGTTGAATTTTACTGTGGCACAGCCATTTAGAAACATGGCTAAGAGAGGAGGTTGGATGAGTTGTAACTTACGCTTGTCTGGTGGATGTATTTTTTAGGAACAGGTGTTATTATTCTTTCTCCTACTCGAGAGCTTGCGATGCAGACCTACGGAGTTCTAAAAGAACTCATGAATCATCATGTTCACACCTATGGTCTGATAATGGGGGGCAGTAACAGATCAGCAGAAGCACAGAAACTTGGAAATGGAATTAATATCATTGTGGCTACACCAGGAAGACTGCTGGATCATATGCAGGTAGATAAAATACTGATGTCTAATCTGCGTTATTAAAACATAATAAAACTCCTGTCCCTGTCTGACTCTGAATTTGTTAATCTTCTAGAACACTCCAGGTTTCATGTATAAGAACTTGCAGTGTTTGGTAATTGATGAGGCGGATCGTATCTTGGAGGTTGGATTTGAAGAAGAAATGAAACAGATCATAAAACTTCTACCAAGTAAGAAAAAAAATTGTCTTTCCTGGAAATCACTTGACTAACATTATGTCTTCTTTATGACTCAATTATTATAGGAGATGTTAGTAATTTTTATAGTTCTGTAAATGCACTTTAGAGCGATTGTCTAACTGTCCTTTTTTTCTGATAGCTAGTATATCTTACTTTATCTGAAGGACAGAGTTTTCACATGCACTTCAGGGATATAATTCTGTTCATCTAAGATCTTTTTAGTTTAACATCTACATTCTCTCGTTCATCTTCCTCTGCCCATTTATTTCCTTCAATTCCTTATTTCCTAATAAGGCTTAAACATAAGGAAAAAGGTCTTCTGACTTGCAGTTCAAATTTTCTTCCTATCTTCAAGAACAGTATCTTAAGGAAGCACAAGTATTTACCTTAAAATTTTCTTTTCCTATTTTTTCATTTAGTTATTCCTTGTAATTGATGTTAAACACATTTTCAGAGTCAACAAGGCACTCTCTTCAACTTTCAAAATGCAGAAAAAAACCCATGGAAATAGTACATAAAAAATCAGTGATAAATATTTTGAGGTTCCACATCTTAAATATTAAAATTCAGATCTGCATGTTTGAAATGCAGATATGTAAATCTAATAAATAACATCTTGTGAAGTATGTTAATGAACAGTGTTAAAAAAAAGGCAAAGACCACTGGGAACATGGTGTGTTCTTTGTGAAGTGGGAAGCGATAGACAAAAGAAATTTTTACTTTGTATGAGTTTAATTTGGTTTTATCTCATTAGGAAGGAGATTATATTTTAAACTAGACACTTCAAAATAGAAAAAAAATATTAAAAAGTGATGGCACCAGTTGTTCAGTAAGAACAATTGCTGCTGCTCTTGCAGTTGTGAAAAGGAACAGATGAAGTCTGCATTTTCCATGTGCTCGTGTAACAAGACAGTGTTACAGGATGAGGATGTGTGTCTGAGCTGGGGGGGTGATGGGCAGGCAGGAGGTTGCCTCCCTGCTCCAAGGAAGTCGCCAAGGCTCGTGCAGACAGACTGCCACGTGACTAAATAGCATGCACAAATGTGTATGTTCTAGGCTCATTTTGCCAGACCAGCAGTAACAATGCACTTCAGTTTTGGTAAGTTTTTTTCTTGCACAATTTCTAGCACAATTTTTATTTTTTTTAAAACAAAAACATTTTCATATTCATGGGAATTACAAGGTCTGTCTCTATTTAAATCATTCTTTTGTGTCTAAATTCGAGTGCAAACTATTATTAACATTTTCCCAGAGAGAAAGAAAATTGTGTTTTGGTAGCTGTTAGAATTTTGAGGCTGGGGGCAGCCTAAGTAAATATCCTGTACAGTCCTGTCTGTCTTCGTCAGTAGCAGTATATTTGAATCAGAATTTGATTGAAACAAGGAGAAGACTTGCTTAGGGGAGTTTGCAGCTAGAGATTTGATGGGCTTGCTATTTGAATTCTCCTTTAAAAAATGAGGCTGTCTTTCGAAATAAATATTTTTTCAGAACGCAGACAGACGATGCTTTTTTCCGCTACACAAACCAGAAAGGTTGAAGATCTGGCAAAGATCTCTCTGAAGAAAGAGCCGCTGTACGTTGGGGTTGATGATAACAAGGAGACAGCAACAGTAGATGGTCTTGAACAGGTAAGACACAAATGTTATTAAAAGGCGTATGATCTGTGAACATACCAAGTCCTGTGTGTTTTTAACGGGGTTGTACAAACACTGTCTTAAAGGGTGTTTACCATCCTAATGGGCAAAAGCTGTCCATTGCTTAAAGGGCTTTATTTAGTCTGCTAACTATAGTGAGTCATATGCATCTAGTCCATGTTTGTAGGACAGGTTGTCGTTGTTGTTATTGTTGTTGATATTATTATTTCATGAGGGTTTATATTTAGTTACTTAGACTTTGTCTATTCCTACCTATATTACACACCTAAGCTCCAGTTGTGTTTCTAACTGTATTTTCCACGTTACTGACTAGATTTATAGATACCAGATATATTTCATTGTTGCTGTTTCAGACAGTAATAGGTAAATGGACTTGCACAGCAGTTTCTGTGTTTGTGCAGTTGACATGCTGAGTATTGTTATAAAATTACCCACAGCTATGTATTACCTTAAAAGAGTAAACCAGTAGCAAAAATGCCATGAAATAAAATTCTTGAAATCGTAAAAAATATTAAGAACCCTGTGCGGTTTTTTCATGCCTAATGTCAGTAATTCAAAGTTCTTGAAATGAATTTTTATTGTATAAACTAACTACTTTTCACTGAACTTACATTAGTTGAGATTAATTATTCAAAAATGACTCTCTCCTATTTCAAGTTAGTGCAGTAAGTTTCTTGCCACATTCATTATCTTTAGGAATTTCATGAACCGAGGCGAGGGACAGACAATAAATTGAATTGTTTGGCCCAGTATAGCTGGAAAAAATAACTATTTGGTGCATTTGTTTGACAGCCTAACAGTTCCCTGATTTAACTGTATGACTGAAACAAAAGTTTGTTCCATACTACTTCATTTAACAATATGGAAAAATTTTCCAGGGGTATGTAGTGTGTCCTTCTGAGAAAAGATTCCTCTTGCTCTTTACATTCCTCAAGAAGAACCGGAAGAAGAAACTGATGGTATTTTTTTCTTCATGTATGTCAGTGAAGTATCACTATGAATTACTCAACTATATTGATCTGCCTGTCTTGGCCATTCATGTAAGTATTTTATTTATTGATACATTTTTAATTAGTATTGATAGTACCTGTAAGTTGTTAGTAACCTTACATTTGCCTTGTTTATTTCAGTCCAGTTTCTAATAAACAGGTACCTCGCTCACAAAACTGATGATCATCTTGATTAGTCTGTAGAGGAAGGAGACAAAGCAAAGACTGTGTAACAGCAACACTTCAATATTGTTAATTTTGCTATTTTCCAAACCAGGCTGAACACGGACATTAATTTATGCTCTGTGTGTAGAAAGCTTTCTGTTTTCTTCCAAGGGATTGCCTTTCACAAGCACTAAAACTCTACTTGTGGAGCAAAGGAATTGTCAGAGGAATCCACACACTCTGATCCCTGAAGCATTGGCTTCTTTTTCTAAGGCCAGGGTGATGTTTGGTTTTACTGTGCCAATTCTTACCGTTTGGATGAGTATTTTAATTTTTTTGTCAAAATCACAAAATGTACACTTCAGAAGAAAGAACTGACTGAAAGTTTATGAAACACTTACAACTGACCACAAATGGCTTTTTTATTTTATTCTTTTGGGGATTTTTTGGCAATAGTTTGATAGAAGTGTTATGAGTATGGTTTTCATTTGTTAGGTTGTTTTTTTCAATCTGTAATCTATCTAACACATTGCCAGACTTGCAAATGTCTTTTCTTCTGAACTTCAGGCATTTATGCAGCCCTTCTGAAAAGAAGGAAATTTTAATGTTGTGGAAGGTACAGTGTAACCTCTGAGAGATACCGTTTTATGTACCCCTGTGGCGTTGACTGCGATAGCGTCGTTTTCTTCACTTCTCAAAATGGTCCTGGCTTGGACGGTACAAATCTATGATATGGAAAGATGTCCCAAATTATTTTACGTTTTTGGCAGTGGTATATGAAATGGGAAATTAGATTTAAGCTTACAAATTGGCAGGTTTGTTTCTAGGTTTTTGTTTGGGTTTTTTTAGTTGATATTTCACCCTTACTGTGTTTGTTTCCTTTTAGGGCAAGCAGAAACAAACCAAACGTACTACAACGTTTTTCCAGTTCTGTAATGCAGAATCTGGAATACTGTTGTGCACGGATGTAGCTGCCAGAGGACTGGATATTCCTGAAGTTGACTGGATCGTCCAGTATGACCCTCCAGATGATCCAAAAGTAAGTTAATGAAATAGAGAAACTTCACACCAACAAATCAAATCCTAGCTACTACTACTCTGCTAGTAGTTGCAGAGGAAAGCTGAAGTTGCTGCTCGACAGAGGTCAGGATTCAGCTGTGTTCATATCTAGCAGCTGATTACTTCCATTTCACTTCATCAGCTCCTAGGACATGCTGCACCTAGCTGAGACCTTCATTGCGTTTTGAAGAATTGCTTTTTATGACATTGTTCTTTGTGCTTTTTAATCAAAATCTAACCAGCTAAACAATAAAACACTTCTCAGGAGGAGTATGAGTTTATATATACATCTCTGAGTCTCCTAAACAGCTTCTGCAGTGGAAATCTGATTTTTATTTAAAAATCTGTATTCTTATTTGAATAAATGTCCAGTGTAAACAAGTGAATGCCAAAAAACTCAGACGTTTTGACAAATATACAGAGCAAATATACCAAAAGCAAAGCTTAATTTTCAGTTACAGCAATCCAAGATTTTTTTTTTTTTTCAGAAAAGGTAAAATGCTTTTAGTGAGGGGTTTCCATCTCAGCCTAATTATGCTTTGCATCTTCAGCCCTTGGTTTTATCCATCCATGTGTCAGTGCTAAGAAGTCATCTAAAAAAAAAAAGATGATGCATGCACTATATTAATGTTAAATCTGGGATCTTTTTGTGAAGCTGTTTGATTGTTACATGTTTGAAAGATTGGACTTACTATTTCTTATTCTTTCCAAAAGGAATATATTCATCGTGTTGGAAGAACTGCCAGAGGCATAAATGGTAGAGGACACGCTCTGCTCATTTTACGACCAGAAGAACTGGGCTTTCTTCGTTACCTAAAACAAGCCAGGGTAAACTTCTGTCTGGATTTTTTAATTTTTTTTTTTAATGGTGCAACAGGTTTTTAAAGGCAAAAACTGTAAGGATTAATCAAACATTTTATTTTTTTAAGCAAAAAGCATTCTGTTGTTCAGTTAAATAATTTCTAAGCATCTGACTTGAAGTCTGAAGTCAGCGGCACAAAGGTAAAATATTGAGTGTATTTATAGTTGCTTTGCAACTGTGCAACTTGTGTTATTAAAATATAAATGAATTTCCTACAGCCTCTCTGTGGAAGGATACAGGGAGCGTGGCCATCTAGAGGAAATTAAAACATGGATGTTGCTCGTGCAGTTTTTATTTTTTCTATTCACAGAATCAATTGCGTTGTGTTCAGCTTCAAAAGAAGCGTAGCTGCGGTCTAAATGTCGTCATTTTATTATGATAGAACTGCACGTGGTTTCTTGGCCGCTCTCCTTACGGGCTTGTTTACATCACAGAGTTTTGCTACTTGTCACTAAATTAGTCTAACTTCTAAGGTGAAAACTAAAGGGGTAGGAGTGTTACACTGAGTGTCTCTCTTATCTAGCTTAAAAGAAGTGATAATACCAGCATATTGATATGAAGGCACTTTACAAATATGTCTGTGATAAGGGTAATATTGGTGTAATGGTGCGATCATTGCTGCAAATGAAAGATGATGCCAAAAACCAAAAATATGCACAGGTGTGCTTTTCATTCACAAAAACATCCTTGAACTTGAGAGCCATAATTACATATTGACAGATACAGCTCTGGTATTAAAAAACACATTCAGTATAAATAATTTTGATGTTTTATTTCTTTTTTTCTTAAGGTACCACTAAGTGAATTTGAATTTTCTTGGGCAAAAATTTCAGACATCCAGTCTCAGGTATGAAATTACTTCATGCTACACATACTCTGAATATCTGTGCAATAATTTACATGGAGAATGTTAGTTTATAACAACTGCAGTTTAAAAATATGTGTGCTTGTTAGGAAAAGTTCCTGTGGATGAGTACTGTGCAGTAAACCCTCCTGCCATACTGTCCCTTGATGACAGTAAAGCGATAACGTTTTTGAAATTAAAGATTAATCTATTATCCAGTACTAAATTGTCGACATTATACAGTATGAATTTGCTTGTAAGAATTGGGTTTTTGCATTACATCACAAACCCACAGGGATGTAAACCTGATTTTAGCTTTTGAACAGAATGTTCTTGTCTAGCGTAGCAAACGGGGTTTCAGTAGCTTGTGTTGAATAGTTACGTGTGTTCAGATTAATTGCAAATAACATGTGTCTTATAAGATGATTAACTCTGGCTTCAGTGTGCAGAAAGAGATCCAGTACTAACACCTAGAAATGCTAGTGTATACTCTAGGTGTATTTTTAACTAGCTGTTAATAAATCCCAGTATCAGCTAAACCTGCTTTGTGCTCCAGTGCTACAAAACCAGCCGTGGAGCAGGAAGTTGAATAGAATAGCATAGATAGTTCTGTAGATGTGGATGTCCATTGTTGTTTAGTTCTGAGAATCATTTTTTTCGATAAGAGCTCTGTAGTGCTTCTTTGCAGTAGTTTAAATTTGAAATAGCAAGTGCAAGAAGCAGTGTTGACAGTCCTTATAGAAAGAGGTTCCTAGTTAAGAATAGTCAGGAAGTAACGGTGTCTAATGTAACGTATTTTTAGTGTGCTGAATTAAAGTATGTTAAACATCAAATGAGACACTTGGATCTAGAGAGTATTGGGAACTTAGCCTGCAACAAATATAATGTCTCAGTGTAGACTAGTGCATCTGCCTTTTTGTCTCAGAATTAATGCTGCTTATTTTACAAGGTATTTGCACCACAATAGCTAAGACTGCCCACAGACTTACCTGGAACGTTACAGCTTAGATGTCTGACTTGAAAGTACGCTGTCGTTGTCCGTTCATTCTGAACATACCTGGTCTCATGGTGTGGCTGCAGTTATATACTCCTTGATTAACTTGTTTGGGACAATCCAACTCAATATACCTGTAAATCTTCATATTGCTGAGGTTTTGTACTGGAATCCAGCTTCAGGCTTTTTTGTCCCTCTGTTTAGAAAAGCCCTCTGGTACAGGTGTGTGCGCTCTCCCGTCAGAGGGCAGTTCTGCTGAAGGGAATAGTGAATGCCACTGCAACTCACACAGTATATAATTTGCCTGAATATAGTTTATACACTTGTTATAGCTATAATTGGATATGTCTTTTTATTTTATTTTATTTTTTTTTCCTCCCTCACCAGCTGGAGAAACTGATTGAGAAGAACTACTTCCTTCACAAGTCAGCCCAGGAAGCATACAAAGCTTACATAAGAGCTTATGACTCCCATTCTCTGAAGCAGATCTATAATGTCAATAACTTGGATCTTCCCAAAGTCAGCCTTTCATTTGGTTTTAAAGTTCCTCCGTTTGTTGACCTCAGTATCCTTTTACTGCAGTGCTTCAAAGCTGAATTTCTGCTTTATAAATGTTAACTACAACTTACTGAAGTTCCTGTGCTACTTCAAATTATGATTTTTTTTTTTTGCTATTAGTCACATAAATGCATCATGCACCAAAAATAGTTTATCAAAGAAAATGTTGAATAGCCAATATTAAAACTGCAAAAATTGCCTACAAACATCCATGTTTTAATACATGTACATGCTGTACGTGCTTCAGTTGCTGCAGGGTAGCAGATGCTGGAATACATTTATGTTCTAGCGTACTGTTCTCCTCCATGCAAAATTATTTTCATTGAAAGGTACATGCTTTAAGTTTAATAGTCATGCAATATTGAAAAAGAGGGGCAAGGGCATGAACTAGAAGACACTGTCTAGATTACTGCCAAACCTGCCAGTGGATGGAATTTGAAGCAGTAGGAGTTTGGCCAACTCAGTTGGACAACTGAAGAAATAGATGCATTACTTAAGACCACAGGCACTAAGTTCTGGTTTTGCCTGTAGTTACGCAGCTTAACTTTCCGTATAATGCTGCTGTTTTTTCTCACATTAATAACTCTTACAATACCTAAAAAGCAACATTTCAAATTTTTCAAGTTCTTTAACCAATAAAATTCCAGATGTGAACAGCAACCATGGCAGAAGACTACAGAAAAGAGGTGGAGGTGGGGGATTTGGTTACCAGATTTTTTTTCCACAAAGCTAAAATCTTCAAACACATTAGCAAGAAATCGGACAGTCGGCAGTTTTCTCGTTAATGATACATTCATTAAAACAGCTGGTGGCATTGGAGTAGACTACCTTGATCAAAACCATCTGACAGTTACTTCCCAATTAAACTGCTCTATTCACATTTTTAGGGGTCTTCATGGGTTTGTTTCTGGGAATGTCTTTTATCTTTCAGTTCAAGAAGACTCTTTGGAAGGGAGACTAAAGATAGAAAGGGAGATTATGGCCTGCTAGTTTTGCCATACTTCTTGTAAAAAAGAAGATAGTTGAATATAATTATTTCAAGTCAATACTATGGAGTTTTTTATTAAAGAAAGAAAAAATATTTTTAGGTTTTATAGAAGAATTTGCTTTACATTTCTGTGCACACTTCCGAAAATTGTTGGAGTAAACGCAAGGACAAATTACAGTGTAAGATAAAAAAATAATTTTGCTCACATGAATCATTGCAATGGTTTTATAACAGAACATACCTATTAATTATTAAGGCTGTAAGAGCTTGTGATTAATTTCAGTCATGGTACCTGTATATTAAGTACAGTGTCCAAGATAAAAAAAAAAAAAATTCTCTTATACCACATCTGGGATATACTTAATACTGTTTCTTTTAATGTTGTGATGAAATGTTAACATTCTAGTGAAATGTTTAGTTTTCCTTCATGTTCTCTTTAAATCCGAATTTATCCATGTGGTGATGTCTAGTATACTCTTAACGAATACGCAAAGAAAATTAAGGAAAGCAGATTACATAATTGGAATCACTCAGCCCAGATAATGTTTTTTTAAAATGCTCCGTCACCGTGGTGCAGTGAGAATTTTTGCAGTTGTATCTTGTAAATTACAAAAATTAATCACTTTTTAGTCGTAGTTTATCAGATCAGTGGTGAGCAAAGTCAAAGATAGTACTGCAAGATTGAGGGGGTGGAGAGACTGGGTAAGTGAAAAAGTGTAATGGGATATAAATATACTAGAAGGATATTTTGGGGGAGAAATGTAAGACTGAAATGGAAGAGGGTGAAATACACATTACAAACAGAACAAACATGGGGACTAAAAAAAAGAATACACAAGTTGGGCAAAAGTAGAGTATATGGCATATATTATTTTCGTATCTCTACCATTGTAGATAACTATTATGAGGCTACAATGGTGGTAGGCAATAGTATTTAAAAAATGTACATCCATCAATGCAGGGAAAGACTAAAATGTCACAGAATCCAGAAATCTTGTCCCCATGTGATTACGGGAAACCAGCTTTTAATTTACATCTAAAATGTAACCCGGGACCAGTTATGAATACAAAAGCATATGTACTTATTCCAGTATAAAATGGACTGTTTCTCCTTAGGTCTTTTGAAGTAGCATGTCAGATCTAAAACTATGATACGTGCATTGAGGTATTGCAGAAAAACATTGGCAAACTTTCTTGCCACCCTTGGAGAAACCAGATACTTTTGTTTGTTTTGGAAAATAGTATGCCCATTCTGTTGCTAGTGCTTCCACCATTCAGAATTGAGTGTTGCCTTTCTTTCCTTTTTTTGTGAAACAGCTGACTTGGCCCTAATGGAGTTTTCAAAACTTTTAACGTTGGTCAGAAACTAAGAATTTCTGATATGTCAAAATAGTTAAGTAAATTAATTTTGTTACTAGGGTTTGAATGTCTCATGCTTCCAAGGTTGCAATGAAAAAGCAAAATCTGCTCTGAAGGGTAAGCAATACTAAGTACATGATGCCTGGCTCATTCAGTTCTAATCTTTGATTCTGTGTTTGCTTATATATTTATAAATAATAGATGCCAAAATAGTTCTTGTGTCTTTATTAATAGCACATTTTAAGAATTCTCTCTGAGATCTACAGCATCGTAGCATTGAAGGGTTCTGTCTGCACCTGCAAGCTGTGCAGTTACAGCATAGGAATTAACTTACATTATAGTGAAATTGACTGAGGGATTCATTAGGTGAACTGCAAAATTAATTACTTGGGAAGAGATGTAAGCAAAGCTGCAGATCAGAGCGTGGTTATGCGGGCACAAGCTGTGTGAATGAAGTAGTGGGGAGTATTTGTTTGGAAGAGTCAAAAACGATGGGCACAGTCTATGACCACCTGTCTGACCACGAACTGCGTTGCCAGAACTGGTTGGGCTTAAAAGCACGTCACAGTTCCTGCCCCTTCTCTGTGTAGGCACAAATCTGCTTTGCAAAGAGCTCCCTTTTTTCTGTCGCTCCTTGTCATTGCAGGAACAGAAGGCTGACTGCTTTCCCAGCAGCTAGGCAACCTCCAGCTCCACCTAATCTTTTTCTTGGGAGGACTTCAGGCACTGTCAATTTCTAAAGTCTGAAATGAGGACAACTGAGAAAACAGTGGTTTAGCACAAGTCTGTGTAACTCCTCCCTGGTATTTTTAGTTTGCATTTTTTTACTTACCCTAATACAAAGAAATCTCTGAAATAATCTTACCTAGGAGATTAAAAGACTGGATGGTGTTGCTCCAGAGTAGTACTAGTTTGCCTTAAAAAACAAAACCAAAAAAAAGTTAACACTGTTACTTAAAGATTATTGATGTATAATGGCTGCACAGTCTGAAGTAACGACATAGTCTGCTATTTCACACCAGTCTGCTATTTCACACCGTCATTTCCTGGTTAAGCAGAAGGGAAATTCCCAAGCTGAGACTGAGTATTGAAAGAGAAGGGCTTCAGTTCCCTAGCTCGTGCAGATGTAGTTACCTTTCTCTTTGTTTATGGAATCATAAATGAAAAACAGTTTCTGATGAAATATCTGTGTGTATCAGGCTGCATCTATTCGACTATGGTATATTGCAAGTTTAAAAGATCGTCAGACTGACTGGAAATCCAACATTTCCTTTGCCACTTACCCGGTTATCAATCTTGGAGCAGTTAATAGACCTCAGCCATCAGAGTCTCAAGGCTTGTCTCATAACAGTGACTGATAGGTTGGGGCTAATACTGTGTGCCTTGAGAAATTGCCTTCTTTCTCCGAGAACCTTGACAAAGAAATTGGACTCTTTGAACCACTTAAGGGGGTGATCAAAACTGTCCTGCTTCAACTGGAAGATTTTTTTTGACAGTTCTTGGAACAGGCTCATAAAGGAGAATTCCATTGCTGAGCTACTGCTCATAATCATGAAAAATCTTGTCATGATATGAGTTTCCTACGCCGTAACACTGCCAAGTTATAGACAAGCACAAGACTAGTCAGAAAGTGTTGCCATCAAATTCTCCAGGGTGAATGTCACAGGTAGAGGGCATGTTTATTGGCAATGTGAAGCAAGAATACTTGAGAACTGGATAACACCTACTTGGGTCTGCTGTAAATAAGAAGTATGTTTATATATTTGCAGTAATTAGCCTTTTTATTTCATATATGAGTTGATAATTTAAGTAAGCTGCTAGTTTTATATATTCTAATGGTTTGCTTTCTAGCCAGTAATCTAAGGCTCAGGGGAAGCAAGCTCTCACAGGAAGGGTGAAAAGGACTATGTGATTAAAAAAAAAAAAAAAAAAAAAAAGCATTTGAGCAGAGGTCTCCAATTTCTTCCCACTGTGAAGGAAGGCAGAGTACTGACAGGATACAGCACAGGTCTGTGACTTGAAGTTTTAGTTCTACCACTGTGCTGTTTAGGAGATGGTTGTCCAATTACCTCAACTTCCCAAAACTTACAAGGGATTTTACAGAGATCTAAACCTAACAACTAGAAAAGAGCCAGTTATTAGTCCTTAAAAGGTGGGTTGGGTTTTTTTGAAACTAAAATAACAATGCTGAAAGAAGCCTAGAATCGACTGGCTAGACATGCAGAACAAAATCTGTCTCTGCTCTTGACTTTAGCTCTGCTAGCTTGATTTCCTCGGGATTTCAGCTGCTTGGCTTGACAGGAGAATTCATGCAACTGTTTCCAATGCTTTTGTTTGCTCCAGATTTATAGAAGATATTAAACCATGACAGCAATCCAGCCTCTTGAACTGGAATGCCCTACTTCTAAAAAATTTGCTGGCTTGCATCAAAGTCAGAAATACTATAATGTCGCTTGTGTCAAATCTCTTTATTGCACAGCCACGTGGGGAAGAGATTACTTTTTTTTTTCCCCTCTTAGTCACCACGATAAACTTTTCATATGGAGTTGTGAGGAGAGATCATGGAATGATGCTGTTAAGAGAATGGAAGACAAATGGAAAATCGGGGTGCTGTCTAGACACACACTCACTTTGTTATATCGGTGTCATCCAGTTTAAGAACAGCATTCACCTTTCTAAAAAATATCTGAGCATACTCTAGGATAGCAGTCCATCTTTCCAAACATTTTCGCAAGCTACAACACTGAAAAACATACCCATCTACTATTTTTGACCCAGTTGGTCAGAATTAAAAAGAAGAAAATCATAGGCTCTGCCAAATCTTGTATAACAGTTCCAAAACTTCTTCCAAACGCTGCTCTCTTTTAGCTGTCATCTGAAGATGTTTAGCCACTGAGGGCTTTCTGGGCTCCTCTGTGAGTGGTTGCAATCACCTACGAATGTTGAGAATTGCAGGAATATTAAGTGCGTTACCTGACATAACTAAACCTAGATGTTCATTCATAGGGGTCAACAGACCATGTGAATTTGTAGGAGCTCTTGAGTCTTCCTTATAAGCTCTGGATAACTGTTCTTAAAACATTGTCACTTGTAATTAATAAAACTCTTTCTGTATGGGAAGACTTGAGTAGCAGCTAAGTTCTGCCCGGCACCTTTCTCTAATTGTTATCAAGAGACCTGAGAAAGAATTCATGAAGGTACATAGTAACACTAATACCTACAAAATGTAATTTGAGAGCATAACTGTAACCCTAAAATGACACTGCTTTAAAAACAAACAAACAAACAAAACATAAGGCAACTGCATTTTTCCATAGAAATTCTATTCACAGATATCTTTACATTCCTCTTAATTGTGGCAGAAGAAAAGTTAGCCAAAGGGCTTGTAGTGCTGAAAGAGGTAGTTCTTTAATACTAGAAAAAGAATCCTTGACTTGT